AAAAATGTCCTTCTTCTGAATAACTAGAACTCAAGTTGGTTCTCACAAACTGCAACACACACACACACACACACACACACACACACACACACACACACACACACGTACATATACACATACACTGCCCTTAGTGTCCCTGTATCCATGCTAAAATCTTATCCAGAAGGAGGAAAGACACACGCACACACTTTGTTTGTGTTGGCTGTTGTCTTTGTATACGAGGGGCTGGGATTAAACTCATATGGATGCAAAGCACAGCAAAGCGGGGGAACAATCTGATGAGCGAGAGACAAAGAGAGAGACAAAGAGAGAGAGAAGTGCATCTGTGTCCCAGACTAAGATATATGGGGCTGTAAAAGCTCCATAGCTCTCCCCGCCGGTATTTACATACCATTCCAGTAGCCAGTGTGCCAGCTTGTTGCAGAGCTCAAGGTCAAATGCACATAACTTATATTCTTTAATAAGAGAGGAAGGCAATATGAGATGCTATATACCTTACAGTCTCTGCCTCTCCCTCTTCCTCCCTCTATTGCCTGAATTAATTGATACTATAGGGATGCATACAGTGTGTAAATCCCAAAGTGGTGAGTAAATTCTAATTGGTCCTATGGTGTGCTGATTTATGTGTTTGGGAGTGTGTGCACGTGAGAGAGAAAGAGAGGTGGTATCTGACATGCTGCAATCTCCATCTATAAGGTCTGTGAGTTGCAGTGAGTTGCCCCAACAAGCTTGTGTGTATGTACTCATATTGATCACATTGTGCTAAACTGTTAAATTTAAGGGTCAGTAATTATTTTGTGAAGATAAGGGTTGGGTTTTGGGGTTGTGTGTATAAATAAAATATATATACACACAACCCCAAAACCCAACCCATATCTTATTCAATCCTGTTTTAATAGAAGTCTCATATTTACATTGACGTGAGAGTGGTTGCTATAATGATTCCTCCTCTCTATTCTAAGATGCATTGTAATGTTCAGTAGGAGGTAATGTGAGAATTTTCTTTCCAGGACAAAAATACCAGTAATATAGCTAGGGTTGAACAGTCAATTGTTCAAAATTAACACGTTAATAATAATGTCAATCTAATGGAGAAAAAATTATTGGTTAAGAACTATGAATTTTGCCAGCTGTAGCTGTAGTAATTCACTGATTTAATAAAACATGCACTGAAAGTTGTAGCAGTTGTTGGATTGATATGTTCTCTGTATGCCAGCGTTATTGTTTGCCAATGGTTTCTTTGAGGAGGAGCACCTATCTGCAGGGTCTGAAATTTTCCCTCAACTGCCAATGTGGCCGGTCACTGAACATTTATAGTCCTGAAATCTAAGAACAATTTAGAATAGTAAACACTGAGTCAGTTGTTCCCTGACAGAAGAAATATGGAATATATCTTAATCCCTGTCTATTCCTAACTCAATAATTGCTTTAAAAAAATAAAATGAATATAATGCAATGCTGGCAGGTGAACTGAATGTTTTACCTGCCACAGCCAATGTTTTCCCTGTATTTGGCAGGTGGCAGGTGCTAACTTTATTCATTGCCTATTTGTATCTTTTTGAGGTATAGACAAATAGGAAATGGGTTTCGTCTATTTTCCTTAAAAAAAACAGAAAACAACAGAATGGCTATGTTGTTTTCAGAGTGGTAACACAAGCTAGCACTTTGGCCCTTTCGAGTAAATAATCAACAACCCCCAGATTGTCAACAGTATGGTTTTAAGTTATAGAGTAGAGCTGTGTCATTAGGGGATGTCAGTCAGACTTTAAAACATTGTTAGAAGAGACATACCAACTTACCAGCTAATTACAAATTTAACAGTTTGTAATTATAACCATAACTGAAAAGCAGTAGCTGTTATTAATACATGTAAGGCAAACAAATACAAATACAGGTAATTGCAATTTAATCACATTCAAAAATTTTTTTTTAAGAAAATCATGATTAGATATTTTCCTCAAATTGTTTGTCCAGGTAGTTTTGTAGGTGAATTAAAGGCTAAGATTTTGTACTGAATATTTTTATTCTTTTTTAAATGTTTTTGTCAACCATCTTTTACAATATAGTTGTGTTTGGATCAGATCGTTTCATGGCCAATATGGAGAGGGGCAATGATTACAGCAATCACTAGTCTCAGCAACTTTCAATGTACATATGGCACATATTTTATTGAGAAAGATCGGATCATTTTAGGTTAGGGTAAATTTCCAGGCAGTGAATGCAAGTCAATGTAGTGTTGTCCTCCTTAGTGACAAAATTATGTTTGTGTGGGTGGGTGTGTGTTTGTGTATCGGTGCATCCCAGCCCATGACTTCCTGCTCCTCAGGAGAGCAGTAAAAGCGGTCCCTCAGCAGCCATGAATTTACAGCCCTTATAAACACCCCCCTCTCCGCTTCACCTTCCCTAATAGGACTATGCATATTTGAAACTTGGATTAAGTCCAAAAGCAAACTTTAACTTTGTCTTCCCTCCCTTCCTCTGTCATTTCTTTTATCTCCCGCGAACACTCTCACCTCCTATAGCACACACTCTCTAAAACACAGGCATTGTTGCTGCCGCTTCAGGTTGACAAATGATGCCATTTATTTAAGGTGTTAATCAATTAGACAACTCCATTTTCTTGGACTCATTTCGTAAACCTCTAATGACAGCAGCTTTGAAGCTGTGACGGGCTCAGACATCCAAACCTTCAGCCAGACCACGTCTGTACCTCTGTGACATTTTACATCCTTTAACCCAGATTAGACACAGAGTTTTTTTTTTTTTTGAGCTGAAAAGTCACACTAAATCAAAACCTTAACAAGCATATAGCAGCTTTTCCAGGCCAAGGTTATGTTTAGCTTATTGCCGGGTCTCTGACTGCACTGACATATTGCTTTTAAAGTTGACAGGATTCAGAGTTAAAAGCACTGCTTTCTCACTAGGGTTGTGCCCCCTTTCTTATCCCATGTAGTTGTGTCTCTGCCTACATTTAGCTGCCTATCCAAACTAAAAAGAACAAACAACAAAAGCATACAAGTGATCCAATCAACACCGAGGGAATTATGAAGCTACAGTTTGGGCTCCAGTGTGTCAGGTGTGGTTAGGTCCCTATGGCTTGCACACAGAATACATATTTTAAGTAGAGCACAGTGGAGAATCACAATTCCAAGGAGCATGCAGTGAGGAATCAGTACTCTGCAGAAAGTAGTATGCAGGGAGGAATCAAAGCTAAGTATGCAGTAAAAGCTACCACTTCTTTAACACCAGTGAGGCAGCCCTGTATCCCACTGCTGTGTTTGAACACTAGATTGACAGAATTGGGCTGCTGGATTTGCCAATAAGTACTCTGTGCTAACCATGCAGAACTGTGAAAAGCTGTATACTATTGTCACTTTCTTGGCCGATTAATGATTAGCTGCTGCAGCTTAATTTGTACAGGTTACACCTGCTCTAGGCAATGTCACACTGATTTGAAGCTCTTTCTTTATGCAGACATCAAGTAACATGACAAACACAAAACTAATCTCTTTGGGCTGATGGTACACCTAAGTGTGGGTTACTGAAGCTTCTTTAATGTGAAAATAAAAAATGGTAACCATATGGTATTTTTAATCATACAATATCACACATTTAGAAGAAATGGGGGAAAATGTAGAAATATAGAAACATCTTTGAACTTAAGTGATTTTAAAGGGAAAGTTAAATATTGTGGTAAATGTATTAGTTTTTTTTCCGAGAGTGAGATGAAAAGTTAACATTTAAAAGCCCAGTTCTTCAGTGCAGCTTATCTGGGTATAGCACAGGTTGCTAGATACAGTCTGTGAGCACAGGTTTTGTTTTTGGTTCCTGTATAGGCATGATCATACCAAACACTTTGGGAAGACTGGCGGTCGCTGCACTCAGTACAGTAATTACATAAAGCCTAATTCAGATCAAAGATTCACAAAGAGATGAAACCATTTTTAAAACATTACAGGGCAAAAATGAAGAGGGGTGAACTGTCCTGTCTCAGCTCGGCTCAAGCCAGCTGATGGTGTTGTGTGCAACTCAGCTTGTCAAATCTCCAGTGCCTGGCTTTAGAATGTAAGACATGTCACCTGCTTCATCAGCTCGTAGTGAAGTCAGCTGGTCAAGTCAGTTAAAAACTGTCAGCTGGTCGACATTAGTCCGATGTTTAAAATAGGTTTAGCTGTGGTATTATGCTGTATATAGGTGCTGTATTTAACAGTCAATATTGCAGTACCTGTTCAGAAAGCGTGCTCGTTCAGAGTGACCGGATTGCTTGGCCCCTAAAAGTGCTGCTTGCAGCATTGTTGAGAACCCGGTATGGCTGCTTGCAGTGTTCTCAAGAACTGCTCATCTGATCAACTTCACAATTGACACTGCACTCCCTTGGGTCCTCAGCAATACACACGCCAAGTGTGAAGTCGGTAGGAAAAACCATTCTCAAGATATGCAAAGGACAATCATAGCCTACACACATACATAGGCCTTAATAGTTAGTTAATGCTGCTACCGCACCAAATTTGTCACACATTATTGAACAAATATTGAACAATATTTTTGTAAAATAAAGCCCTGCCCAAACCTTTGAGCAAACTTTGAGTTCCAGCAGTAGCAGAACTGTATGGTTTGGACCAAATTCTAAACGGTGGAAGATCGATCAAGATGCAAATAGGCGTGGCTTATATGAATAGATTAATCTGGACACAGAATCCAGGAAAAAAAGGATTTCTTACAGTTCAAAAGTCATAGACCAAACTGTAAAGTTAGTTGTTATAGCGCCACCTTCTGGCGAAACACTGCACTTCCTTGGGTCCTCAGCAATACACTCGCCAAGTGTGAAGTCGAGCGAAGACATACATACAGACAAACAGATTCCTTCCTTTATAGTTAGACCGACCAACAAGCTCCAGTGCCCTATGTGCCTGTGAGCCTGTGTGGATGAGCATGAATGCATGTTTGACCAACATCTGTCTTCTAATTGACTGTGACTTTGTGGTTTTGTGTATTTACAGCGTGCTGTGGGAGCCTATGGGGGATGGCAAGCGTGTGATTTCATTGGCTGATAACCACGCACTACTCTGGGACCTGCAGGAGAGCTCCACACAGGCCACAGTAAGACACACACAACATACGCTCACACACCTACACACACACTGTAAACCACAAACCTCGCACACCATATCACACAATAGCTAACTCATTATTTGATAACAACCATATCGTCTTGGTGTTATCAGACGCACACATCCTCTCTCTGTGTCCACTGTTCATTCTGTCTCACACACACACACACACACACACACACACACACACACACACACACACACACATACACACACACACACAAACACGGTATCGAAGTATCTCAGCGGTGACCACTTTAATATTATTCTGGTCAAGTCCTCCCACAGTGATAGTAATAGTTTTGTTTAATAAGTAAGAGAAAAGTTGTTTAATGTATCTGTTTTCACAGTTCACTAGTGCTACCAGTGTCATACCTAGTGATTTATATCAAATGTACAGAAACTGCACTACATGGACATTAGAACATTATACCCGTATATGATAGTTGAAGATCTTTCACACTCCTGTGGGCATTAATATGCTGCTATTAGTGCATTTCCACCACTGGACTAAATTTAATTTCTGGTGCTAAAAAAGTCCTTGCTCCGGGGGTAGTTCTTTCTAAAAGTTAAGGAATTAACTGAGCACAGTTTTCAGAGCTGAACGTTGCTGATTGGTCAAATACAGACACCACAGCTGCTTCAAAATCTGTACAGCTTTCATCAAGTTCAGGGTCAGACACTTCTTGTTGTCTATTAAAGGTCCCGTTTGTAGCATTTAGGAGGATCTAAATGTCAAAATTCGAATATAATATTTATAGGTATGTTTTCATTAGTGTATAATCACCTGAAAAAAAGAATCCTTGTGTTTTTGTTACCTTTAGAATGAGATGTTTTTATCTACAGAGGGAGTGTCTCTTCTAAAGAGTCCACTACGTTGAGTACCCATTTTCCACAATAGCCCAGAACGGACAAACTAAACACGTTCACGTTTTGCGCAAGTTTCACATCCACTGTAGTTTCTCCTATATACCTGGAAGTGGTGGTCGTGATTTGGTTTGGTGCACTCTCACCACTAGATGCCACTTAATCCTACATAATGGCCCTTTAATGTTTACAAAGGTACGATGTCGGCTTCCCAACTAGTTTAAAAAAGGGTGAGATAATGGGTGTGGATGAGCTGAAAGCCTGAGCAAACAAGAAAGCTGCAACTATTGTAATTAAAACATAAAAGGAAAACAAGACTCTCCCTTGTTTTCTTGTGTGGGAAAATTGCAGTTGTTTTTTAATCTGTCATTGAACTAATATGCCTCATCTTTCAGTTCTTAGGATGCGATGGATTTTGGAACCTGGTTGCAGAGATTTGCAACCATTCAGCAATGGTAGAAGAAGTATACAGATACTTTTATTGAAGTAAAAAGAGAATACCAATGTCTAAAAAACTGCGTTATAAGTAAAGGTTCTGATTTCAACATGTTACTGAAGTAAAAGTACAGCAGTGTTTTCAGCAAAATCTACTTAAAGATTCATGTCAAAACTTTGTGAAGGCCAGTCCTACCTCAGCAAACTGGGAAAACCATTTCTTCTTTAACCTGGCTTTGTGTTTGAGGGACAAACACAAACTGCTGACACCAAGCTGTCAGAGAGCCGAACTCATTTGCATTCAACTCAGTGCATTCATACTCTGTTCTGTGTCATTCCTGTCGTGCAGACATACACAGTAATGGCTTTTGTAAGAAAAAAAGGAATGGATCACCATGTAACCGACGTGTGTAAGTACTTTTGGTCAGTTCGCTTGTAGTTGTGTCCTTCCTAATGCAAGGTGAAGAGGCTCTTCACCGTAAATTTCCTGTCTCCAACCTGCCGGCTTTGCAATTAAAATGCCCATTATGTATTTAAAGACTGAAGATAATGGTGTGTGTGTGAGGAAGAGGTAATAGAGTAGTGGTGTGTCTGCTCATGCTTTCATGGGTGTGTGAGTGTGTCTTCCATTTGAAGCTATAAGTGGAGAAGAATATAGATGGGTCATTGGTAATTAATGCTCATGGTCGTTGAGTGATTCACATTAAGGGCAGCCAGGTCATACACCTAATATATATATATATATATATATATATATGTGTGTGTGTTTGCATCCGAGTCAATGCCGCAGTTTGGAGAAATGCATCTCTCTCTCTCTCTCTCTCTCTCTCTCTCTCTCTCTCTCTCTCTCTCTCTCTCTCACTATGTCAGTGTTTGTCTGCCAGGGATGTTCTCAATTCAATGATTATTTATTATTCATTTATATTCACATCGATCAAAGTTCAAATCACAATGATGAGTTTTATATTGGGTCATTCAACATCATCCACATTTTACAGAAAATGTAATTGTTTCAATTGTTCAACTGATGGAGCTGTTTGTTGTATATATTACCGCCAGGCAGCAGGAAAAATACGCGCTGTAAATATTGAATTATGGAGAGGTTTGTCATGTTCCAGGATGACTGAAAAGCCAATTTCACTTTTGTTCCTTTAGAACATGGCCTTAGACCAACATTTCTTCCTACTACTGTATGTCTAGTCTAGTGTATTTGGATATTAGCTTCAAGCTAGCGTTGTTCCATCTGTGCTGTGTGTTAACAGTTCGCAGCTCTGTTGGCAAACTAAAGTTAGAAAAAGTTTTGTAACTGCTTTAAAATGTGTTTAATTTATTACCACATGCACATAGACCTTTCACTTTGGGCTACATATATACTATATACATTCATGAATTTTGCAAACATCTTTACATATAATGTACTGTCATGTTCACAGTGAGGTGGGCATTTTGGTGGGAGAAAACCAATTCTGGATGTTGCCTCTTGCATTATTAATTGGTGGACTATACTGGAATTAACCTTAATTGTGATTATTTTATAGATTGTTTGTTTGTCCATTGATTTATGTATGTGCTTACTGTAAGAATGTTTGTAATTATGTTATGATTGATTAATGTTGATTTAACAAATCATCAATCATCAAAAGTTCCGATGTAGTACGCCAAAGAAAAGTGCAAGGAATGCAAAAGACACTTTTCTCCATGACAAATAAGGACTTCAGTGTGGGAGCAGGGAACAGTGACATTATATGGCTGTAAAATTACAGGAAAAATCAACATGCTGTAAATTTTCAAATAAAACCCAGTGGGCTGGCCAGCATGAACAACTAAAAGCTGGACGCTAATAAAGGCTTGGTAAAAACACTGAAAAGGGTGGAATCACCTGTACTCTAATAGCTCACATGGTAAGAAATCAGAATTGACCACCGCACCCTGGAATAACTGGAATAATAAATTATATTTAAGAGCGAGCAACGCGTTTCGCTTGCAGCTTCCTCAGGTTCGCTCAGCAAAGTTGCTCACATGGTAAATTTACCCTCTAGCGAAGATAATTTCCACAGGATGTCATACACACCGTCTGCAGCTTTGAGTTTCCCAGAAATCCTGTTGTGTTAGCAAAGTAGTCAACTGGCTAGTTTTTTATCATAAGTAATTTTAACAGATGCACGTGTACAGCTGTCCATGTTTACGACAGTGGTGTTGCAATCTGAAATGGGGCTGCCAAATTACAACAAATTGCCATTAGTGTAAACGTCTCAAGTAGAGAGACATGGCAGTCTGAAGCCACATTCTGAAGGTCCACCCAGATTGAAACTAAAGCTAATAGTTGTCATTTTCTTCATGCAAATTTGAAGTGGTGGACCGTTTTTTTCAGCACATGCATGAAATTTACAAGCACCGACTACGTGGGTCCAGACTGTGCCTTTGCAGTGATTTTATGACATAAAGTTGTGCCACTACTGAAATTTGCTTTGCTTATAGTCAGACAAGAAACATCACATTCCTGATTTGGCCGGGAACATGGCCAACCACACTGCCCCTATACACTGGAACATATCGTCCGGTTCGACAAGCTAAATATGGCTGCTACATACAAGGCTAACCTCACGAGGATAAATAGCTCCACCTGGTGGAAGAATATACACCATCAGGGGAACATTGATAAATGACTCAAAATAGATGTGATCGTTTTAATTATCTTACTTAAGGATGTGGGCTATAAACTTATATTGTTTCACAGTGCCTGTAACTTTTCTACATGCATTTGTTCTGCTTGTAATCAATTGAGTGTCAGTGTGTGTGAGTGTGTGTTTGTCCCCTGTGCTGTGACCCCAGTGTGAGGTCAAGTAGGACCATGGAGGCGGGGTCGGGGGGTTGTTGTTGATTCTGTCCTCTAACACCGACACTGGACGTCACAGCTATTAAATCTTGTACCAAGGGAGAAGTAGAGAGGTGGAAAGAAATGGTGGGAAAGTAGCATAATGAGTAGGGGAAGACGGAGGGAGGATGGAGAACAAGGGAGCAATGGAGGGCTCGACTGATTGGAAAGATGGAGATTAGGAGGGAGATATGAATAAGGAAAGAGAGTGGGCTTGATGAGGAGAAAGGGAATGAAAAAGAGGAGAAAGAACTTGGCAGCCAAGACAAATTCCTCCAGTGCTGATGAGAATGCTAATCTCCTTCCCTCCCTCCCTCCTCCCTCCTTTCATCCCACTCTCCTCTCTCCCGTTCCCTCTATCTGTCAGAGGGTGATGTGTTCATCTCAAGCCGTGTCCAGCTGCAGTGTGGATGTGTCTCTCTCTCAAGGGCCAGGCCTAGATTAGAGTGTATGTGTGTAGTCGGTGTGGGTGTTTGCGTGAGTGTGTGTATGCATATATAAGAGAGGATCATGTGCATAAGCGTAGCAGTGTGCATTGTTTGAAGGAAGATTTGTGTGTTTATGTGTGTGTGTGTGTCTTTGTGTGCATGGCTCATCAATTAGAATCGCTGGTGGAATTGAGTGAGAACATCTCCGCCGGCTCACAGCACACCCACACACCTTGTCCTGCACATCTGCTCACTCACACACACATACACACGCTCTCTCTTCTGGAGACTAGAGAAAGCATAAATGCATGGCGATTTGACAGATAGCTTTGCATTAGTGCCGCTTGCGTCCTAAATGAATGTGTCCCCTAGTGTTGTGTGTACTGCCTTGTTAGGGCCCCTAATTTGGTTAGTGCACTAATAAAGCTGGGAACCTGGGATGCACGAAGCTCAGACTTTGCTGTTGCACCACTAATATAACTGCAGAGAGGGAGAGTCCTACTGCAGTCTTCCCACTGATCATGGAGTTTAAATAGCTACCGTTCTGTCAAGTGGAAGTCAGGGAACTTCATCATTTCAGGGATGATTGAAAATTTGGCAAGTGAGTCATGTGAGTATGTCACAGTTTCAATATTCTTTGCATTAGATGGTGTTCGATTTTCCAGCAGAAGCCCAGTTACATTGGAAATCTGACTGCTCCTTTGGAAAAATGTTAAAGACACAATGAAATGAAATAACACATTGCAAAATTATTATCCTGTGTCCCTGCGTAAAGTATTCTGGTAGCTGTTGTCAAATATATATCATGTCTTTTGATGACTCATCCTGCACTATCGGTTATCGATTGAAATATGATTCAGAGCAACCACCTAGTCCTAAACTCCATAAAACTCCACTTGACCATGTCAGTGTGTGGCTCGCAGTAGCTAACAGTGGGGTATCATGGTAGGAGGCATGTGTGTTTGGATGTCAATTGGAAAAGCCAGTGGTACATTTTCAAAGGAGTCTAGTTGAGGTCCACTTAATCAATTCCTTCTTTGTCCTCCACTCTCTGGTCTACAGTAACAATGCCACTAAATCATGCCTACCATCAGCCCTTATAGCCCTCCCACATATTCCAATTCACTCAGAGATATGTGACACCATATCAAGTTCTATTTTCTGAGGAATGCCATCGGATACAATCACAAACCCTGAGAAAAAGCAGCATCAGCGACATTCTCTATTCTTTTTCCTGCAGTTGTTGTTGTAATTTTATAAGAGATGACCCTACTTTCTACACTGATACATTGACCACAGCATTCATCTGCTTAATTACTGGATGCTTCATTTGCACAACATGGTACAACTCGGCTCGACATGACTTGCTTGGAGTCAATCTTTTTTGCTTTTCCATTGGTAAAAGTTGTGGATAGTACCTGGTACTTTTTTTGTTATCGGTTATCGGTCTAGGTTGATTTGATTAGAGAATTATCACTTGCTCGACACGGAGCAACCAGTCATTTTGTCGTCTGAGCTCTGATGTAGGACTTCCCAAAACTGTCTGCCTTTGGTCTTTTCTGAAACAAAGTTTGTCTCCTTATCACAGCCACATACAGAGAACCGAGAACACCATCCCTTTGATATCCTCCATTGTCTCATTGAAGATTATGTCATGGCAGTCCCACACAGCATTGCTATAATGATCAGCTACATTGAAAAACCTGAAAACGAAATCGAGTACTTTTGTACAACCTGACGCCGGACCAGTGTTGGACTAAAGTAGTGGTTCCGGACAGCTTGTCGCACTTACTTGTTCACACAAAAACTACAAGTCCCAGTTCTGGCATTGGAAAGGTGTGGGGCTCAGGGGTGTTTGGACTCTGTTCGTCAATCCAACAAACAAGTTGATTTGGTCATACTAACACCTTCAGCTATAATTTCTGAGGGTGCACAACCAACAGTTTGAAGGAATATGCGGGGATAGCCATAGATTGTAAATTACTACTTTAATAAACCAAGATGCAAGTATATTTTTAGTTTATGGTGGCACTCTGATTTAATCATGAAAAGTCATGGAATTTTACATAAAGGCCACAGAGGAAACCCTGCTTCTCTACTTGTCCGATTTTATCCGTCACACTTCCCGTGCCATCTTTCTTCAGCTTTTCTTTCTTTTTCCTTTCTTCTCTTCTTCTACCCTCTTTGTTCTTGTTCCTTTCATCCTATCTGCTTTTCTTTCTCAGTCTTCCTGCCTCCCTCCCTCCTTGCTGCTCTTGCAGCCCGTCTCTCTCTCTCGCTCACTCTCCCTCTGTCCTCTCCAGCTGAAATAATGAGTGTACCAGGGAGCTGTGCTGTGACGGGGCGATCGATGATCCCTGCTCCAACAGGCAGAGACAGGAGTGAGAGAGGGAGGGAGGGAGAAATGGGAGAAGGAGAAAGATGAGAATAAAAACCTGCAGATATTCAGAGAGCAGAGAAAAATGGAGCAGTGTGATGCTGCTTTTTAGAATTGTTAGATGCATCATAGTTTAAGGGAAAGATAACCATTTCCAAAGCCAGCCTGCTGAATTAATTGGATTCCATTTTTAAAGTAGCCTGATGAAGTGATATGCTTTATAATTCAAATTCCTTGAAGTGTTTTGACTTTGATTAATTTCGCCTTCATTGTTGCCCTGTGAAATATAGGTAGCAGATTTGATAAATATCCAATGACAAGCATGCCGTCTTGTTTGAAAAGCCTTAAATGTTGCAATTTAGCCTGACTGCCTTTCAGCCAAACTGCTCTAATTTTTGTATCCAGTGACATTTTGTCAGTTAAATGTTTTTCTGTTGAAATGACATTAAAATACATCTGAATGATTTCCACCAGCCTAAAGAGGCTAGTTTGATTCAGCTTTTAACAGTCATCAGTCCTAAATTCTCCAAGGGCTCATCTTCGACTCGACAGTTGATCCATAAGTAACTCTGAGCGATCTAGTGTATAGATCCCCGCCATGGGACCAAGGAGAGGCAGGGGTCAGTAGATCTGTTGATTGATCAGCAGGTTACAGAAGAGACAACTGCCTACTGTTGCCTTCCAGTCCCCTCACTGGGGGGTTCTGGGTCTATAGGTCCTGTTGTGCTGCTGGGCATTAAAATGAGAGCAGAACATACTAATCCATACGTATATGTACATATATGGAGCACACTGCAGGCAGGAGCTATTGGCTCTACTTATGAACAGGAATTCATGCATTGTCAGTATATTCAGTTTTTATTTCTGAGAAAATATTTATGAACACTACTGGTGAGGGTGGTATCCTTGCATTTCTAATAGAATTTCATTTTTGGTAAACATGGAATACTTCCTATCTTAACAGGTAAAGCTACATTAATTGATGTTTTAGCCACTTGTGGGAAACATTAGCTGAAATCACAACATCTGACAACACATAAGAATTTGATATGGCTAACTTGTTGGCATCCTATGTACACATCCATCTGCCCATCCAATATTATTATTCATCAGGGGTCATTTTTCCATCCACCAGTCTTCACCAAGTCCTCAGAAAACTATCTGGCTCTGTAGCTGCTAAATGCTCCACTGTGTTTACCTAGCCTGTTTCCAAAACCTCTGAATCTCCAGCCACACTAGTTCAACAATTCACATATGGCTGGATTTGTGCCCACTGGCGGCTTTCCTCCTCGTCTACCTAACGTCTGGGGATTTCTAAATGCAAGGTAGTTACTTGAACGGCGAGAACAGCTGCTAGCAACTGTATGCCCCTAAGTACCAGGACACCCTCTCCTTTCATTCACCTCTGTAGTGAAACAAACTGGAGAGACAGATCTGGGCGGATGGACGAATTGTCCTAGTATCTCATCTCTCATCTCATCTTCATCCGCTTATCCGTGGGGGTAGCAAGTCCAGCAGAGGACCCCAAACTTCCCTTTCCCTGGCCACATCAGCCAACTCTGACTGGGGGATCCCGAGGCGTTCCCAGGCCAGTGTTGAGATATAATCTCTCCACCTGATCCTCGGTCTGCCCCGTGGTCTCCTCCTATTAGGAATTGTCCTAATAAAACAAAGATTTTAACCATCAACAAACTTTAAAGGAGCTTTTTTTCTGTCACTGCAGCTAAGCCATCATATAATGCATGTGTTGCTGGTATGAGAGTGTTTACAAGCACACAACTTTTGCAGGTCACTGCCATGTCAGTGGTCTAATTGCCACCTGCAAGACTTTGGCTTGGTTCTACAATGCAGTTTTTTTTTTTTTTTTTTTTTTTTTAACTCTAATTGTTTCCACCCAGTTTTAGTAACACAAGCTGGGAGAAAGTCCTCGGTCTCTATTGAGTGAAGTGTTTGGATGCTGGGTTGTATGTCTAGTTTCCTTCAGTTGGACAAAAAGAAGGATAGATTAGATAACTGCTAGGTGGTTAGGGAAAAACAAAACAAAAAAATCCTCTCCCTAAAAGAAATCTGCTCACATGACACAGCCTTTTTTGTCTACATTTGGTAGTGGGTAGGTAGCAAACAGTGAGTCTATCAAAGCTTTTTTTCTGAAAAGCGCTGCTTGTGTTTCAGCATTGCGCAAATCGGCTGGCAGTTGCCGTGTCAGTAATGGCCAAAATATTACTACAGAGTCACACTTAACGATTGTAGTCTTGAGTGTGGCCTGCAGAGAAAATTAATTCTAATAATGCCTTATTATGCTGATTGAATGCACTGTACTGGGTGAACCAGTCACAGATATTTGGATGAAATTCACGTCCCTGCTTAGAGATGGTAATGAAGGTGTTTCTGTCCTCTTCAGGTCTCCAGCACTGCCACCCTGGAGGGCAAAGGTCAGCTGAAGTTCACCTCGGGCAAGTGGAGCCCCCACCACAATTGCAGCCAGCTCGCCACAGCGAATGACACGGCCATACGAGGCTGGGACCTTCGTACCATGAGGTGAGCTCTGTTTACTGGGGCTGCTCTGAAAATTCAATATTCCAATACATTCTGCACAGATTGTTTTTTCATTTTATTTTGCAAAGACCTCACCTCATATTTCACTATATTGAACATTTTTCTGGAAATTTTTTTGAAACCAGAGTTGATGAAACCACATGTGCTCAATATTACTATGGCTGCCAATAAGCCCGTGCCAGGAAGAAGAATTTACAAGCAGCGCTTTAGTCGCATTTAGGGCTGAAAATTTCAAAAGAACAGCATGAGGCATGTTTTCCGTAAGCTTTGCCACTCAGTCTTAAGGCATTCTTTTTACATGGCGAATTTCCCTGTGGACCTGACTTAAAACCAGTCAGATTTTTTCAGCCTCTATTTAAATCAGACAGAAGTGAGTCATGTAAGAGTCATGTTAGTTAAACTCTCAGAGCTTAACAGATTCAGCGTGTGTTTTCATGTCACTACAAGATATTTGAGAGCATTGCATTTAATTTGACTCATCATGCTGAATGAAAATATTACAGATGAGTTTCAACACAACTTTCCTCCAATCCACATCAGTATTGCACTATATCTCCAGTCACTGAAATTCTGCCATTATTGTGTTATCCAATCGATCAGATGAGAGTATTTTTTGTACAGACCAAAGTTTTTTCTTTGTTTCTGTTTTTTAAGGCTGACAAGTGTTATTTATAAATGTATTAAAAGCTACATTTAAATTATTTTAACAACACTGTTGGACTTTTAATATTCAGGCATTAATTGCTGAATTAATTTAAATGTTATGAGGGGCTGATGCACCTGTTGCATTATGCAAGATTATCTTGCTAAATCAATTTTTAATGTCCATATTCACATAGTAAGTTAACTAATTAAGCAACCATTAAGCAAGGTAGCTTTAAAAAAAAAAATCACAACAAACACCATTTAACAACACAGAGCCAGACAACTCCTCATCCGTAATACTGGTAGCATAATGAACATTGTGACATTTTGCCAGAAGAAACACACCATATATTTCTTACCTGCAATGTACAGTAGATGGACAGTTTTACTTTGTGTCTATATGTCATTAAGGGACTTACCGTAAAATGAGACTATATATGTTCTACAGAGAAACAGCAAATTGGACTTTACAATGTGACCAACATTGACAAGGGAGTATCACATTTTTTATCGGTTGTTGTGGCCAAAAATATCACGATAAATGTTATTATCATGATGAAACTTTCCTGAAATTATTTTGCCTTTTAGATTCTATGCACCATTCATGTTTTCATCTTCTGATTTCTTTTGGGTTTTAAAACCCTCTGACTTAATGTGCATTATCACAGGCACGGTTTTGTCTTTTCGTCCTGAAATTCAGCTCTCTGTCTCACTCAGCATTACGATCCAGCACCCATAAACCATCCTTGCTTCTGTAGGTTGACTAGCTAATGTTAGTGTAGCAACTTGTGGCCAGAGTCGCTCAAACTAGACAGACAATGAGCCTGGTTCTTTGGTCTTGCCATGGTCACTGCCTCTGTTTGACCAGAAGAAAAGGTGGTCCTTTGTGGTTAATACAAAAAAAAACTGCTAAGGAAGACAATAGCACTCTGCTGTGTTCAAACATCTGGAGACCTTTTGGTTCAAGGTCTATGGACACTGGCCCACTCAGCACAGTTCAGTATTCTGGCTCAGTCACTGCACACACAAACTCTACCTTCCACCATGGTGACCCACTACTAGAGCCTGACCGATATGAGAATTTTGAGACCGATACCAATTTTAGAGAAAAAAAATTCACAGATTACCGTTATGGTGTCTAATACAGTGAATATTTAAGCTGAAATTGAAATAGACCTTTTCTGTGTGGATTGTGCTCCAATATGACTCTGCAAAGGTACTCAGAAGGCTGTTTTCTTAAATAAATAACTTTATTAAAGAACATTTAAGTTAAATATTCTTTAACATATTAAATAATTTAACATTGTCAACCAAGCGGTTGACATTGCTGAGAGCTGCTTGCCACAGTATTGTAAATCACAGTGCGTTCGGCTGGATAGACTTTGAAGTGACACCTATATTACCGCAAGCAATTTTATATGCCAATTTTATGAAGCTGTTTTCATGGTGCATATCAGATAACATATACGCCGATATTGATACAATGCCAGTATGTCTGGGATAGGCCACTATCGGCTGATAATATTGGCATATAGGTTGGCCTCTACCCACTACAGGATGCAAACATGCCACCTTTAATTGCAAGAGTCTTCATCAATGTACTCTTGATAGCTTACACTGATAAAGGACTACAGCCTATAGTAGAAAGTCCTGTTGTCCATGCCCATGTCATTTGGACATGTAAAGGAACCTGGCCTGGGTCTAATGTCAAGAATTGAAAGATGGTATCACATGCATAGTTAGATACTTGCATTACTTATTCTTTGATATTTCTAAATAAAAATAAAAATAATTCTAAATTTAGTCTGTATTTTATTAAGGGAAAGTCCTCTTAAAGCTGAATTGTGTTAAGACAAAATAAAAACACTTATTAATTTTAAAGGTTTGGCTTATATTGTTAAGTAGAGTACAGTTACTCAAAAAAAATGTTAATATTCCTCAATGTGAGATTCTAAAACTCAGGTATTGTATTAGCACCGCTATCAGAAAAATGACAAATGATAGCCAATCCTACTTATACTGCAATTAAACCATATCTTGGGCTCCTTGACAAAATCTATACCACATTTACTTAATGTGTTTCTCTAAGAATACTAATACACAGGGAATCTCTGTGAATTTCCTCTCGCCTTTTTCTGACACGTTTTGTTTGCAGTCCTGTGGTTGTTCATGAATCTAATGAAGTGTAAGCATCTCCTCAGCACATGATAAAGCGCAAGGTGGCGGAACTCAAATGTTCTTGTTTGACCTGGAGCATGTGTACTGCCACACATTAACCTTGTAACTGCAGGTTATCAGCTACCCACCTCACAACCTCTAGCTCTGTGCGTGCATGTATGTGCATTGTCTGTTTGCGTTCCCTGTGTTTCTAAGGCATGTGATGAGTGAGGTCAGCATGTGTGTACATGTGGGCTCTGCTAGAGGATTGATAATCACCTCGCTATCCATCGCCATGATAACAGCCAATGTGCCGAAGAGATTGAGAGCGGTGCCGCTTGAAGGAGTGAGACGGAGAGAGAGAATATATTTACAAGATGTGTATCACAGGCCCAGATAAGATAGTTGAATCATTGATATCATTCCCCGTCAGCCCCATAACAAATTATAGAGTTCCTGCACGCTCCGTTTTGGCCGTTCTCCTCCCGCTGTGCTATTTTGAAAGATGCAACAGTGCTGATTTGGCTGTCGGCACAAAGGGAAGGAGGGGGCGGCAGCACAGGGCTTGTTAGCAGAGACCACAGCCTCATCTCCAATATCACAGTGTGCTGAATGATATCTTGTGCATTATTTTATTCTCATTCCCCTAAAATTGAGCTGGTATCTTCAGCAACTTTGAGATTTACACAAAAATTTAAAATAAGCTTCTGTCCCTTTGAACAGTTTTTATCTGCATAGCCTGAGTTTGTAATGAGTGGTCCATCAGTGGGCGCTGCTAGTTAAGGGGTGGATTGCTTTTAATTTAGCTTCGCCCCACAAAAGCAAAACAAAACAAAACCACATGCATGTATGATCAAGTAGATTTTACTTCCATAGGGAATACATTAATGTTCATACAAGGAATAACTTAACGGTTCTACATGACATTAACTACCACTAGATATGGCAATACAGCAGCAGCATCTCAGACCAAAACAAATGGGTGTTACGGCGCGCCAAACTCCATTGCCAAAAATAGTAATTATCTTGGAAATCATCGTAAACACATCATCAAACCGGACCGCCCCGTAACAAAAAAGAAAAAACCTACCAAAACTGTCTTTATTAGTCTTTCCTGTCTTTCCAACAATCACCAACTCTGGTTTGGTCAAAGAAACCCAAAATGGGCTGCAATGGGTGCAATGTAAATGCACCAATAACAGTATGATCACTAACTGAGCCATTCACAGGATCAGATTGCTATTCTAAATGTCTGGCAACATTGTGGAAAGGATTCCTACAGAGACAGACCTTTTGTTTAACCAGAAACAGCCGTAATATCACTTATGCTCACACCCGACTCCATAAACAAATACAGGAATTTTATTGTGCAGATCATTGTAAAATGCACTTCATTCAAACTTGACAGAAACAAAATAAAACTCACCAAAAGCCTCCAACAATCACCAATTCTGGTTTGGTCTACATAAATCCCTAATTCACAGAGTTATATGAGAAACCTAGAAAAATGGAACTGATTCCGTTTCATATTATTGGTTGTTTGCCTTACGAGGATTATTTGTCTATTTTAACCCTATGTAGGGAAATGTGAGGAAATATAATCACCTTTATTTGTATGCCATGTTTAAAAAATACCTTCAGCATGTCAAATTAATACAAAAGATATAGCTTACAAAAGTGAAATATGTAGTTGATCAACAGAAATTTGACGCTTTTCATTGTTTCCTATGAAATTAAACCATACTCTTGAATTGTTGGTCAGACAAAATGAGCAATTTCAAAACGTCATCTTATGTTATGGGAATTTTCTGCAAACCATTAATTGAAGAAATAATTGGCAAATAAACCAATATTTAATATAATCTTTAGTTTCCCTAAAACCCTAACAAATAAAGAAATGTAAAAAACAAAAATAAACAACAAAAACATTTTAATAGCTTCAGGTCACTATAAATAAGTCTGTGGTTTCTGTTTTTTTTGTGTGTCATTTATCCATTGGAGCGATGAACTGAATGAATCGCTGTGGCCTTCTTTACTCTTTCAGTCCAAGGTTTTAGATAGACACAGGCAACAACCAAGGGCATGGTGTGCGTTTGTGTGGTGTGTGAGTTCATGCGTGCACATCCATGCGCAAGTGTGAAGTGGTTGCGAGCGGAAAGCTTGCAAGTGTGAATGAGCGG